TTCTAAGCACCACGCATTCATCAGTAGTGTGACCAATGTCTGAATGGAAGTCACACCACCTCGATGGATCTTTCTTCTTTCTTGGCCTGTCGCTCTTTCTGGGCCATTGCACAGTATCTCCCATTTTGTTCAAGTTCCTAATCACACCTGCAAGGTTAACATTGAAACAATATTCATGTAATTTAGGGGGGATTTCAGGATCTTCCCTCCAATTTGTGAATTCTCCCTCGACAACACTAACTATTCCTTCCTCAAAGCAGGATCACTAATAAGGCTTGAATCTATGATCCCTCCTAAGAAAGTTGTTGCTCCTTGATGAACAATCTGGCTCAGGAGTTTTCCTTGCATAGACATCCTCTTCAATCTTGACTTAGGCCATTGCCTTAGCCTGAACATCTTTGAAAGTTATGCAGGGATACTTGGTCAGTTCCTTATAGAGCTCTTTATGGTCAAGCAGTCCTCTTTTGAATGCTTCAATAGTTGTGGGAGCATCGCATTTATGTATCTCAATCTCCTCCCTATTGAACCTGTTAAGGTAATCCCTCAAGGATTCTTCATGCCTTTACACAATTCTATACATATCTAAAGATTACTTCTCTATCGTCCTGCTGCTAGCGAATTGGATCTTAAATAGGTTGACCATTCCTGCAAAATATCGAATAGTCCCATTATCTAAATTAATGAACCAAGTTAGAGCTGGACCTAACAAGGTGGCTCAAAGCCTTTGTACATGATTGCCTCTCTGATATCTCTATGGATTAAGCCGGTCATCATCTTCTGCTTGTAGAGGGACACGTGCTCATCAGGGTCTGTTGTTCCATAGTACATGGCCATAATGGGCATACTGAACCTTTTTGGCACTTCCACCATGGAAATCTCTTCTGAGAATGGTGACTCTTTGTAGCCATCTGCAGCCTCTTCCTCCACGACACTACGGGGATTTTTGCAATCTTGGCCTCGAACGCCTTGAGGTATTCCTTGACCACCTTTTCTATATTTCCCTCCTCAGTTCCTGCTTTCCTACTCTTTTGGAAAGTACCTACATCAATAAAACCTTCATCTAGGGTTGTGTCCCTGTTGTTAGAACTTTTTTTCCTGTTAGTAGGGGTATGGAAAGCTCCTGACATATCGAGCTGCATGGCTATGCTCTAGAATTGACTGTTTTGGATGCGGCTAACTGTATTTGGTTGCGGAGGGCTTCATTTTGTTTGGTCAGACTAGTGAGTTTGGCTTCAGTTTGGACTTTTTGGGCCAATAGGGTCTCGATCTGGCTTTTCTGTTGGTCCAAGGTTTGGCGAAATGCGTTCATTCCTTCATCAATTTCGGCTATGGTGAAGGGTATTGATTGTCCAGTCATGGCTAAATGATGTTTTTGGCTTTTTGGAGAGTTTTTGGCAGCTTAACTGATTATCAGCCCCACGGTGGGCGCCTAATTGTTTAGGGAAAATCTTAGTAGGGTAGGTCTAGGAATTTGCTTAGGGTTTTAGGGGTAATAACAATCAATCCTACAATAACAATCACAATAACCAAGAACAATAAAGAACGAGCAAATTAGCTAATGGAAAAGAGTTAAAAAGATAATACTGAGTAAGGATAGGCTCCTTGATCAGAAAAGACATAGAATTCGTAAATCACTTGCATATATTTTCGAGTACTAATGTATGAATGAGGCTTGTACATGTTTTGGTAGCTATTTATACCTAGGGATTGCTAGGGTTTACATATATTTCAGAATAATATTCAAAGGACAAGATCTTTATATTTTGTTCTACTTTCCTTCTTGCTACTTTATATTTTTGGTGCTTTTCTTGTTGGTTTGTTGATTGATTTTGCTGCCTTATTTGTATCAATCAAGCCGTTTGCCTTGATTTTGTTTAACTTGGCTTGCTCCTTAGTTTTCTTGATCATGCCCTACGACTTCTGGGCTTCTTGGGAGTACGGGCCCAACACCACCGCCATTAACTAACGTAGCTACTAGAATATTAAGGCTGTCATATTAACAATATAACTCATAGCTAGCAATTCTAAATCAGGATTTACTTGTTTCACGCTCCCTCACATGAGAGCTCTTTGGGCTTGAAATGTGGATGCAGGATGGGCCTTCGCATATCCTACATGAAATATATATTCCACTTCGAAAGGAGGGGTGGATGATATTCGAGCCCGTGATCTTTGTATCACGCTAGCTTTGATACCATTTTTAAGAACCATCTCAACCAAAAGTTTAAATTGATGGTTGAGGCCTAAAAACATATTTTATACTCTATCATTCAAGATTATAAACAGTTATAAATTAGAAAATTTCAACGAGTGATGACATTAACATTTAACAAATAAAAATAAAACACGATGGGAAAATTAAAAGGGTTTCTCACATTTGAGACTCGGTCTCTTTTAAGACGTTTTAATTGAATGAGTACATAAATTATCTTAAGAATGTGTTCATGAGCATTCCAATAAAAGGGATACGTGAATTAACGAAATGCATGCCATCATGCAACGTTGAAACTTTCTGTAAGAACATCATGTGTTGTACGTAACAATGTACACACGATAACTCATCAACTTGTATAAATTAAATTTACTAGTTCGTGATTGGCAAAAGTTGACCAAATCTATTACTCAATAACCTTTTTTTTATATATAATTTTTTTTTATTATGATTTTAAGAGTTTCAAACACATACCTCAAACTCTCAATATGGGGTTTTTAACACATAAATAGAGAGAGGAGGTGATGAATTGGCTCATACATACCCATACTTTTAGGTATCAATATCATATAATTTTTTTTTTTTTTTTTTGATAATGGAGTAAACGACCAAGGCACAAGACTAATACTCATCTCTAGCGATACTTGCTAGATTTTGAGGAGCCTTACACAAGATACAAATACTACAACAATAAAATTAAAAGTACAAACACATAAAATAAAATTAAGCTTCTTATTTGGATGGCCGGAGAGATTCATTGATGTACCACCTTTCCTTTTCATACCTGCATGAAATTGGATTTTATGATAGGATAGGCATGGTTAGGGTGCAAACTCTTGCTTCTTTTCAGAATCCTTTCTCTAATTCTCCTTTTCTGAAGACCGGAAATGTTGTCTATGGCTTCTAAAGAATTCTTAATACCCATAATTTGGCTCATCCCAACGTTGAACTAACATTTCATTCCATTGCATATTCATACCTATACCAAACATATGGTATTAAGATTCAAGTTCCAGATCCATATCATTATGATTTCATTCCTGATTCCAATCCTATTTCAATTTGTGAAGCAAACGCCCAGCATTCCTATAGATAAAATAACTATTGAAGCACAACTAAAAATCCAGCCTTTTTTGTGACCGTCACAAATGGTCGTTGAAAATACGAAAAATGGTCGCTAAAATTAATTGTATGGAGATAATCATATTGTTTAATCTGTTAATAATTTTGAGTATATTGATCATTTGAAATCTCTCATTATGTTGTTTAATAATATGTAATCGATTTGTTTTTGTCAAGATCAACAACACTATTCACATGCTTTTGGATGTAGCCAACGAGTTTTGGTGAACCACGTTATTTTTTTTGTGTGTTTCTTGCTGATTTTGCATTTATATTTTTTCGTTCTTTCTCACATTACATTTCGGCAGTGGCCAAAAAAATCCTTTTTAATATCATTTATCTTGTAAAATTAATAAAATAGTTGAATATGTAAGATTTATTTAAATTACTTCCTCAGACACTTAACATTTGAAATTTTTTTATGAGAGAAATGATCAATATGCAAAGAATAAAAAGTGACGGAGGGAGTATTTGCTTTTCAATATTTTGACATACATAAACATTATCGACATGCCCCATTATAACTTAAATTATAATTAATTTAACGTGAATGCTCTTATAAAAACCAAAGTAGTTGAGGAATAAACACGTAATACTACTTTGATAAATCGGTACAAAAAAATATATATTAAGGCTTTAATTTAATTTGTCATCAAAACTTTCATCCCAGCGAACCCAACAACTAACCCTTGGCATATAGTAGATAGGAATTATCCAATTTCACTAGGTTAGTTCATCAAATCATATACGTCCAATGGGAAAAAATTAGTTAACGAATTAATTTAATCAAAACTAGAATTATCTTTACATAATTTTCTAGGTTTGTTAGTATATGGTATGACGTTCATACATTCTCAAAGTATCACCAATAATCTTCCTCGATCACTTTTTTGAAATTTTAGGCTTAATCATCCATCTCATTTCATTTAGGCTTTGCTTTGCTTTTGTCACCTTAATTTACTTTATCTAAGACTATATATTAACGATACATGAAAATGAGCTAAAATTGATAATTAAGCTAATTAAAACTAATAAGGTAATAGCTGAAATTAATAAGGTAGTTGATTACATCAAGACATCAAGTGTATAGTTGAAATACTTAGTTGGATGAAATTCATTCCTTTACTAACTTCTTCATTACATTTAATCAAAATTAGATCGAGATGATTTAGACAGATAAATATGGAGTATAAAATTTAATTTTAATATGGTACTCAAAGTAATAACATTTGAATTCCCTTTTTACCATCTTAATTTTTACGGGGCATGTACTTGTACTTCGTTTATTTAAGGTGTTTGCCAATAAATCTAATCATTAAAGTGTCAAACAGCACCTTATTATCATTTAAGGTGTTTGACATGTGCTGCCAAAAATAACAAAATAACCTTATTATTTGAATAATTAGTTGATACATGTGAATTTATAGTAATAGTTATTGGAAATCAAATTTGATAATTAAAGCGTATATAAAATTACTAAAACCTTGACTTGAAAGAGTTTATTGGCACGACATGTTGACATTTTCTAAAAACCTACTTTGTATTCTTTAGAATACTCCATTTTGAATTATTTTTTGATTAAATAAAGTAAAACCTTACCCTAAGAAAGTTGTTATATATAGACCTCTATAGTTCTGGTAAGAAAATATAAACTCACCATCCTAAAATCATACCTTCCTAAACTACATAACTTCCTTCTTAGCTTTCTCCTTTGCCAATATCTCGTAGCTAACTCCGATGGGTGTCCATAGAGACTTCAATGTTTCGACAATGGTTAAACACATCGTGGCAGCGGCCGTGCCACTGCAGGATCACCGGCTACCCTTAACAAACTTGGACTTTCTATTACCTCCATTAGATGTTAATGTTTTTTTCTGTTACAAAAATAGTGTTACTACCATACATGACAACGAAGGGCAACAAAATAATACGTTCAAGTGTAAGGTAAGTGTACTAAAGAAAGCCTTAGCTGAAGCACTTGCGTACTTCTATCCCTTTGCAGGTGAAGTTGTTAAGAACTCCGGTGGCGAGCCGGAAGTTCTATGCAACAACCGCGGTGTCGAGTTTGTTGAAGCATTTGCGGACGTTGGTCTTTGTGAGCTTGATTTGTACAATCCTGACCAGAGTATTGAAGGCAAATTGGTGCCTAGGAAGAAAGATGCCGTGTTCTCGGTTCAGGTCAATGCTTAGCCCTAATTAATTACATGCATCGTAGACATAATATACATATTCTCGTCCTTGTTACTCCGTAAATAATTCCTCCATTTCAAATCGATTCAGATTTTGACTTTTGACAATATTCACACATTCTATAGCTTTTGTGATTTGGAAAAAGAGAGTAATGTGCGATTTTAATTATATAAGATTCTAGCTTCACACTGTATATTTTCAAAATATCTATATATTTTTATTTATTTTACTTAGGCCCTGTTCACTTCACCTTAAATAAAATAATATTCAGTAAAAATAATTTCAGTTCACTAAAAATAATTTTAGTTTAGCAAAAATAATTTAAGTTCAGTTCAATAAAAACAATTTCAGTTCAATAAAAATCAGTAAGTTTAAAAAAGAAATATAACATAAAATCAGTAAAAATAATTTCAGTTCAGCAAAAATAATTTCAGTTCAATAAAATTAATTTCAGTTCAGTAATAATAATTTAAGTTCAGCAAAAGTAATTTCAGTTCAATAAAGATAATTTCAGTTCAGCAAAAATAAGGTAAAGTGAATGGGACCTTATTGATAATTAGAGATATTTACGATTAAATTTAAGCGTGCAATAGTAAAAAATATGATAAAAGAAACATATGTGTCTAGGAATTAGGATGTACAAGAATTGTGCTTTAGTTTCAAATAATTCTGCGCTACGTTTTTGAGTGAATTTTGCTTGTTATTAGTATTTGGTCCTGGAATTTATAACAAATTATTTACTCCGTAACATGTAATTTTCTACCAAGTTATTTTATATACACCGAATGAACGATATCTATAAGTGTATAGTTCTTGAAAAATATTTAAAATTTATTTAATTACGTTATCAATTATACAAAACTTATTTTCCTCTGTTTTTTTTTTCTACTCATAAAATTTCATTTTAAATTTATTATTGCACTATTTTAATCACTTATATGAGTTATATCTATGATTATGATTAAATGCGCAAAATAATTAAAATGTGACATTACGAAAATATAAATTAGGGAGAATCTAACAAGATCTACATGACTATATATTTTCTACAATTATAAATCATCAATGCTAGCTAGTTTAAGTAAATCAAAGTATTACAAGCGTAAAAAAGAAATATTAGAACTATAAGTTGACATATATATTTACAAATTTACATCAAAACTCTTAATGAACATGGTACAAACTACAAATACCTATAAAGATTTTAATACATGATGCAAGAATCTATAAATATACTAAAACAACAACCGCTGACATCATTACTTTTTCAAATTGTACACATGTCAAGTTGTGGTTAAAATTTTTCCCGCCTAAATCAATTGCTGACATCATATTCTTATTTTTTTTGTTTTACCTTAGATTTATTACAACTTTTCTTTTTTTGAAGAAAATTATTATATTATATTATACTCCATATTTTATATTATGATTTATGAGTGACTATTTGGCTTCAAAATATAATTACTCCCGGTTAAAGAGTACTCTGTATTGCATAATTTGCTTAAAGTTTTACTCTTCTTCAAAATTAATTAGATCTGAATAGCATTGCAATTAATGATTATGTTTCTATAACTTATCTCATATGAGGGACATATATAAAATTATATATTTATTTTAAACAAATTTTTTATGTTGTGCATCGCACAGGGCTTATCTAATTTTAAATCAAATAAAACTCCACGATTTAATCTTTAAAAAAATAATTAAAAATAAATTGCTACTATTACATGAGTTTTTATTATTATTATTATTATTATTATTATTATTATTATTATTATTATTATAGGGACATGCACATGTTATTAGTAACAATTTATTTTTAACACTTTATTGATTAAAGGTGATTATCATTTTTTTTAGAGGAAGGTGCTAATATATGATATTCACCTTCCTCTAAAAAAAATGTCTGAAAAAGTGACAACTGCATAGTTCCCACAAGCATGTAATCAGGGTCGTCTCCGGAATTTGGAGGCCTTATGCTAACTACAAAAGTAGTCCCCTAAACTTTATAAAGAACCATTTTTACAAAAAAAGTCGCCACATGTTTTTTTTTTTTTATTTTTTTTTTTACATGTGGTAACTTTTTTTTTACAAATTATAGAGCCTATTACTCAATTGATATTGATATAAATAAAAGAAAAAAAAAAAAGCTCGTTGATATGTACAAATCATTTGTACATGAAAATAGATTCTGCTTATAGTTTGCTTATAAATAGTGGATAGAATTAAATTAAATGGATCACTGAATTGATGATGTTTAGCCATTAAGAGATAAATAAGGGAGTTTTATTTGTTTTGGAAACTAGGTTAGTCTTGTGCGATGCACGGTTTTTATGATAAAAAATTTACTTGTAAATGTGTAATATAAATATTTTAAGCAAAACATAATAAATTATTATCCCTCTCGTTAGATAAATTATGATAATGTTAAATATTCTAATTAACTTCATAGATATAAGAAAAATTTTAAAATGTTAGCATTCTCTTTTGATTCATTATAGAAAATTTGAAGAATTAATAAAGAGTGTAAAATCCAAAATTTACAATCACTACTACAGTAAAATGTAGGAGATTTTTTTTTTTAAGAAAAAAACTATGTAGGAGAAAAACAAAACCAAAAAAAAAAAAAAAAAAAAAAGTGAAAGAGACTGTACCAACCCTCAATCATTTAATTTTAATTCATTTGAATAGAATTTGTATATTTAGTCATAAAAGCTTTTAGAAAAATATATAATTAGTCAATTATTTCCAAACATTAACTTTTTACCCTGAAAAAGAAACAACCAAAAAAAAAATGATGTCAATAATAGTTTTGGAGGGAAATTTTTTCATAAGAATTTATCATGTGGATAGTTATGATGTCAGCGGTAATTACTTTAGTATTAGTTATAGACTTGAAAACAAAAGTCAAAAGTCTTATTTTTGGAGAAAGCAAAATGATAAATATAGCCCTTAAGGCTAAGTATAAGAAGCTTAAAAAGGAAATATTGAGGATATTTTAACATTAATCACACTGATATGCACGTGATTTTGTCATAAATACCCAACTTAATTCCATTATAAGAAATATATTTAATGCTTATATATATAACCCTAAGGGCTACTTATATCAATACCCTTGGAGAAATAGAAGAATATAAAGAGTTTGTTTGAACATGGTAATGACCAGCTTTTACACGATAATTTTTTTAAAAAAAAACATAAAAAATAAAGTCATAACTTTCTTAATTTTGGCCCTGTTCCAAAGCACATAGAAAACTATGTAATTCATAAATACCCAACTTAATTCCATTATAAGAAATATATTTAATGCTTATATATATAACCCTAAGGGCTACTTATATTAATACCCTTGGAGAAATAGAAGAATATAAAGAGTTTTGTTTGAACATGTTAATGACCAGCTTTTACACGATAACTTTTTTTAAAAAAAAAAAACATAAAAAATAAAGTCATAACTTTCTTAATTTTGGCCCTGTTCCAAAGCACATAGAAAACTATGTAATAGACGGCCCTGCACGTAATGGAGTGTTTTCTTTGAAGTTTCTAAAAATAAAAAGACAATGAATCACTAGTGGCGGATTCAGAATTTTCGAGATGGTGAGTCCCCATCAATTATTGATCAAATTTGTTGTAATATAATACTAAAACCAAGTATTATTTAAAAAATCCATTTTTCAAGCCGAAAGTACTATAAATAACATGTAACAAACAAATAGTACACACCCATTCTCTTAATGGTAGAAAAAAAAATAGTAAAATGACCTTAGAAACCGGTTGTTAGATATAACCGGTCTCTTTTAATTAAAAAAAAAAGGCAGCAGAAAAAAGGATGGTATATACTGCTAGCATTAAAGAGACCGATTATTATAAATAACTGGTCTCTTTTAATTAAAAAGGAAAACAGCCAGCATAAAGAAGAAAGCAGCAGGAGACACTCTTAGCATCTAAGAGACCAGTAATTTATAATAACCTGTCTCTTTGATTGATTTGATTTTTTTTTTTTTTTTGCAATTGAACTTCAAAAAAAAATTTAGGGTTGCTGATGCACGTGCACAAGTGTGCATACATGTTAATCCATGAAAATTAGATAATATACCCGGGTGCATCATGCTCATGGTGCACCCGGATAAACAAAAAAAGGCGGAAAGAACATATAGTGTTTGATAAAGAACATACCTATGTTTGACAAAGAACATACCTTTAATATGTTTTTTGAGTGTGATCAGTGTGTTCTTTGAGTAAAATTATATGTTCTTTATATTATAACTTATGTTATTTAACATATGTTGATAAACATATATTTTTTTTGGGTTTAATAATACAAAGTATGTTCTTTGAATTTGGTGTGTATGTTCTTTAAGGTCGTAGTGACTCCCAAATTCTATTTTTTATTATCATATGTCATATTTAAATTACTTTTATTATCGTATATTCTTTGAGTTTGATTAGTGTGTTATTTAGGTATTAACTATATGTACTTTACAATATAAATTATGTTCTTTTAACATATGGTATTTTGAAATTTGATATTGAAATCTTAAATTATTTTTAATTGAAAATAATGTTAGAGTAAAAAAAAAAAACTAAATTATTATGGGAAGTTGAATTTTTTTTGGAGAGATAGAAAACTATTTTTTGGGGAAATGATATCTTTGGTAAGAATTTTTTAAGAGGTGATCAACATTGGCATGACTCGCATCCTGACCCGATCCGGCCCGAAATAGGGTGGGTTTGGGCAAACCTAAAAATACATTTTTAGTTAAAACTCGAACCGGGTTCGAAAAAAGCGCGAAAACCCGCTACTTTTCTACGGGTTTGGGCACAAGAAATTATGATATGGCCCGGCCCTACTCGATTTTTTATCACCTCTAAATTTTTCCCGTTAATAATGTGTAATTTTTCAGAAAATTTTATCAAGTTTTTATCTCGTTCTTTTTATTATATCTTTATGTTCTTTGGTAATGCATGTTTTTTCCAAATACAAACATGTTCTTTGTCAAATACATGTATGTTCTTTATGAAACACAGGATGTTCTTTCCGCCTTTTTTTTATTTATCCGGGTGTACGATGAGCACTATACACCCGTGTGTATAAACCACGGATCACCTATGTGAATCACCATGAATTTCTTTTCTATGGAATACTTCTTATTCCATATTTGTTAGATTAAATAAGTATTTTATTCAACCCAATCTATTAACATATCCTTCATTCGTTTTGTTTTTTTTTTTTTTTAAATAATTTGTCCCACTTAAAATCTTGAGATACTCCATATATCAACGCAAACAAAACCTAATACTAATGTTTTTCTTACACATTAACATTTTTTTGACAACCTTGTTGTTTATACTTTATACTTGCATTAGGTGACCGAGTTGAAATGTGGGGGAACAGTAGTGGCTTGTGCATTTGACCATCGAGTTGCAGACGCCTACTCAGCAAACATGTTTTGGGTCACATGGGCCGAGATGGCAACCTTTAAGCCCATTTCAACAACACCTGGTTTTCACCGATCTCTTGTTAGCCCAAGAAGCCCACTTAACTATAACTCCACTTTTGATGAAATGTATATACCCATTTCATCCCTCTTAAATTCAAATCCAAATCAAAATATGGACCCACTTATTACCCGAGTTTATTATGTCTCAAAATACCAACTTGATATCCTTCAATCATTGGCTCAAATTGAATGTTGCAAGAAAATTAGCAAACTTCAAAGTTTTAGTGCTTTTCTTTGGCAAATCATTGGTTCTCATACTTGTCAACTCGGAATGGATCATGTGAACAAGATTAGTAGGATGGGCATCGTTGTAGATGGTAAGCTTGCTCCATGCATATAACACGTACATTTTTTTCGATCGTCAAAAATAATAATCACATTATTTCAATCCCGTATATTATATTGGTAACATCACCATAAAACATTATTTGAAATCATAAGAGATTATATAAGTATGATGTTTAACTTTAGACATAGGAATATTTTGTGACTGTTATTTTTGGACGGAGTATGTTCTAGTAGTCTCAGAGCATAAACACATTAACCTCCTCTAATTTGCTTTTTATTTAAAACAGGGAGAAATAGATTAAGCAATGAAGAAAGCAAGGAGAAAGCACAAGCTTTTAATTCTTACTTTGGAAACGTGTTATCAGTACCATTTGGTGAGCAAAAATGTGGTGATTTAAAAGACATGTCAATTAGTAAAATGGCAAAATTGGTGCATGACTTCCTAGCAAAATCAGTAACAAAGGATCACTTCTTGGACCTCATTGATTGGGTTGAGGCCCACCGACCTGAGCCCGCAATGACAAAGATCTATTGTACCGAGGACGGAGATGGGCCGGCCTTTGTGGTGTCGTCGGGCCTAAGGTTTCCTGTTTCAAAAGTGGACTTTGGATGGGGCAAACCAACGTTCGGATCATACCATTTTCCATGGGGTGGTAGTTGTGGTTATGTGATGCCTATGCCAACTCCATTAGAAAATGGAGATTGGGTTGTGTACATGCACCTTCACAAAGAACAACTTGACTACATTGAAGCTCAAGTTCCCAAAGTGCTCAAACCCTTTTCTTTGGAGATGATTAACTCCAATTAACCATGTCAAATAAGTAAAATTAGGCAATATAAATATGCACATTTTTTTTATAACATCTCACAAGGCTTTTATAAGGGATTACATGTTGTAAAAGGTATGGGGGTTGAAGTTGTTAGATTAACCATCCTCAAATTGTGTGTGAGAAATTGGATAAGTATATATGTAATAATATAACATAATCTCATATTGAAATTTAGTCTCTAAGAAAAGATAATTTACCATCTTAAAAAAGGGATTAGGATCTTAGCCAGCTAGTTTGCATGTAATGGCATGATGCTTCTCTATAGACAGATGTAGAAAGAATTGACATTATTTATAAAATTTCAAAACAACTCTTTAACGTCGTCATATCCATTAGCAAATGGAATTTCTAAGGGCACCACGCCTTGCCCTATAAAAATGATATTAAAGTAAGTTATTACTTTCAATGAAAAACACACATGATACTATGAGCTTTAAATAAGAGCAAACCATTACTAATGGTCATAGTTTCTAAATTGAGGAGTGGTCAATCTAAATTAAAATAACAACTAAAATTATCATTTCCTAAATGATCCCTAATAACAGTATCCGATGTGGTCCCAAACCATGCCTCAAAATAAAATTTAGGAACACCAAGCAGGAGGAGGAGGACCAAGCAACTTGAATTGAATGACTTTATGAAGTCTAAACATACACGCAGTTGAATGACTTTATGAAGTCTTAACATACACGCGGTTGTATCTTGCACCGTACTACTTAATATTTGCTCAATAATAAGCACAGTAGTATATGACATGTAACTTACAAGCCTCAATAGTACAATAAGAAACCCCTATGCGCCCCTGGTAGATTATGTAGTTAAGTAAATAATCTTTTGAAATTATCTTTAGTATATATTTAGTGTATATATTCTTAGTTTAGCTTTAAATTAATCAAACTTGAAGTCTTTGGTGTATATATGGTATTTTTGATCTTTGGTGTAATGCGAATGGTACTTGGGACTTGGTACCATGACCGTCTAATGTCAATATTATTCTTCGTTCTTTGTGGATCTTTCGGCATAAGACTTATTCAAATGGCTCGTTTGAGAGACATAAAGCTTGTCTTGTTGGTAATGGTAAGACTCAAATGGAGGGAATTGATTGTGACGAAACTTTTAGTCCGGTTGTTAAACCGGCTACAATTTGGGTGGTTCTTAGCATTGCTTTGTCACGATCTTGGCCTGTTCATCGTTTGGATGTTAAAAATGCATATCTCTATGGTAACTTAAATGAAAATGGCTACATGTATCAACCTTTGGGTTTCAAAGATCCGGCACGTCCTGATCATGTCCGTTTATTACAGAAGTCTCTATATGATCTCAAACATGCACCCAGAGCTTGGTATCAACGATTTGTTGATTTTGTAGCAACTATTGGTTTTACTCATAGCAAATTCGACAACTCTCCGTTCATTTATCACCATGGTAATGACATTGCCTATATTGTCTTATATGTTGATGGCATTGTGCTTACAGCTTCTACAGAGTCTCTTCATCGCCAAATCATCTCTTGGCTCAATTCAGTATTTGCCATGAAAGATTTTGGTAGCTTGAGTTATTTCTTAGGTATTGTAGTGACACGAGACAAGAATGGTTTATTCTTATCACAGAAAAAAGTACGCACAGGAAATTCTTGTGAAAGTAGGCATGGCCAACTACAACCCTTCTTCTACTCCTGTTGACTCGAAAGGGAAATTGAACACAGACTCTGGTGATCCCAATGATGATCCAACCACATGCATCTCGAAGGTTGTGTGGTGCTCTGCAGTATCTCACCTTCACTAAACCTGACATTTCTTATGCTGTCCATTAGGTGTGCTTGTTTATGCATGCTCCCAGAGTTGCTCATGTGAATGCTCTAAAACGCATTATTCGCTATAGTTGATTTTGGTTTACACTTATACAAATCCTTAATCACCTCAATCTTGTCTTACACGGATGCAGACTGAGGCGAGTGCTTGGACACTCGCCATTCCACATCCGATTACTGTGTTTTTCTTGGTGATAATTTGATTTCGTGGTCTTTGAAACGCTAACCTACTTTGTCAAAATCTACTATAGAAGCAGAATACAGAGGGGTTGCAAATGTGGTGTCTGAATCCTGCTGGATTCGAAATTTATTGCTAGAGCTCTGGTGTCCGGTCTCTAAGGCTACATTGGTTTATTGTGACAAGTAAGTGCTATATATATCTTTGACAATCCTGTTCAACATCAAAACACTAAGCACATTGAAATTGACATACACTTTGTTCGTGAAAAAGTGCAGCGTGGAGAGGTTCGTGTCTTACATATACCATCCCGATACCAGATTGCAAATATTTTCACAAAAGGTCTGCTTAAGGTTTTATTCGATGATTTTCGGGATAGTCTCAACGTTCCCAGTCCTCCCGTTTCGAACTGCGGGGTGTGATAGATTATGTAAATTATCTAGTTAAGTAAATAATCTTTTGTAAAAATCTTTAGTATATATTAAGTGTATATCTTCCTAGTTTAGCTTTAGCTTAACCTAGAAGTCTGTGGTGTATATATATACTGATCTTTGATTAATGAGAACAACACGGCAAATATTCTCACATTCTTATAGTCCCATCAGTCGCTTCCATTATTATTGTATGGCGCTAGATACCGTTATGCGTTCCATTAGTCATTGACATTTTCTGTATGCATATACAATAATCATTTTCTTCAAGTTACTTCATCACTTCTTCCAGCTCTTCTTCTACTCTCCTTTCCAAACTCTACATTCTGAAAAGCTTGACAAATAATTCATTATGATAATTATACACACGGGTATGAAGAGGAATAGAATGGATTCCATTTCATATTCAACAATGTTAAATGATTATGAAAATAAATTGTAAAAATAACGAAGATGACTCCATTACTATATTTACTATGTGCGGCAACACTAATCCAACCAACCATTTCAAATACAACAGTGTAAACTGATTGTGAAAACAATTTGTAATAACGAAGATGACTGCATTTCAATATTTACTATATACATCAACACTAATCCAACCAAATCATTGAAGAAATGTTAAGAACACATTTACATCTTGATTGCGAAAACGGGTAATTCTTAGTTAATCTTACATTCCACTCTTGAATTGATTGTATTAATATTTAGACAAGAAAGTGATGATGATTAACACTACCTAAACAACGGGTATATCATCTTCTCATAAAGTCATAATACACGCAATTTTTTTGCTCGTTGGAGCCGACTCCAACTTTAAGCGTAGTAGTATAAAACAGTAGGAGAGGAGAGAGAAACTTAACTCTGAAAACTTTTAGAGCGAAATACAGGTGAAGTTGGCGTGCTTAGGTTGCTTAGGGTTTCGATTTTTACTCCGATTCTTCATGAAATTGAAACCCTAAGTTTAATCTCATCATGGATTACTCTAATTCTGCCCAATTCGATATCTTTCATATCTACCGGCAATTCTGCGGTAATTTCAATTTCATAAAATCAAATTTTTTTTTTTTTTTTTTTTTTTTTTTTTTTTTTTTTTTTTTTAATTTTCTGGAATTTAAGCTCGTTTATCTTGTTGCTGATTGTTGGGATTTTCTTGATGATTGTTTTTATATTGATTGTTTATGTTTGCCATTATTTTGATGTTGATTTTATTGAGATGATTAATTCTGCTTAATTTGCTGATTGTTGGTTTGATTATTAATTTTTCTTTTTTTTAAAGAATTTTGGACTGATTAGCGTTTCTTGAATGTTGCTGAATCTGTTTGCTTATCATGGGTTTAATGGAGGGTGGATATCTGATTGTTTGGGAATTTGATTGGTTGAGTTAATCTTTTTGTTAAATGGCATTCATTGGTTTTGTCTTTTTAAATTCGCGGTAGTTTTGAATCGTTAATCGATCAGAGTGAAGTGTTCAAGAGTGTTAGGATTACATAGGAATTTAGGGAAATTAAAAGTATTACTTTTTATATGCTTCTAACGTTCCAAGAGCTCTTCCGTTGTAGTTTTTGATGGATTAGTGAAATCTTCTGAATCTCTTCGTGCTTTATACTAATTATCAACCAAGAGATTAAGTTATATTATATGTTACCTTCAAAATTAGTACACAAACCACAATGCTGCCAAGAAGTTAGCCCACTCGATTGACCAAAGTAAATCACCGGTTCCTTTTTCTAGTGTATAGTAGAATTTGGCATAATAACAAATCAATATGGTATTTCTGTTTTGAATCGAAAATTTGTTTTGTCCTGCGGGAGGGGATATTCTAATTAATGATGTTTACGTGGAACTTTTTTTATTTTATTTTATTATTACTGTGGGACAGCTGGGGTTTTGGAGATAGTATGTGAACCTAAGTTCGTGTTTAGTGACAGACTGACAGCCAAATCCATCTTTATAGAATGTGCAATGTTATTTATTCATAAGGGTTCAAAGGTTATTTATTGCTTCCAGCTTTTGTTGCATTGTTTTATTATTTATTTATATTAGCTTCTTTGTCAGATATCAGATCAGGGAACGTATATTCTTGCACTGAAGCGAGCAACACGTTAAATGATGATTTAGAAAAGGTCAAGAATATACGGGAGGCAACGTTCCATCTCTCAAAAATGGTGGACTCAAGCATGATTACGAGGTATATCATAAAGATTCTTTAATCAATAATATGGAATAAAGTTGACTGAAAACATCCTTGCCCAAGCATAATTTGAGCAAAAAAGATTATGAATTCTGTATTTTTAAAATGTGGATTCATTGTGTTGCATTTCTCAGTTTTTACGGGTTAATCGTTTTTGAATGTGTCATGAGCCAATATTTGTGCTTACAGAATACAGATTGTTCGTTTATTGTCCAAATTTGGCTGTACTTTCTATTTCGTACTTGAATATTATTGATTCAAGTTTTTTTAACTTTTTTTTTATTAATTTCCCATGTAAATATCTGAATATATGCTTTTGCTGGCTTCTACCTTTGAGTTAGATGTTAATGTTTGAGTCCTTATAATTTCATTCCACTACTTCATTTAATATCTCATTGGCTGAATTGTAAAGGCCTCTAA